ACATTACAAGCCTTACCCATTTGTTTGAATTAACCATCTATTTGAACCTTCTAACCTCTCATGAGCACTTGAATTGTGATGATTTAGGTAAATGTTAAAGTGTGGGGTGGTTGGTTTGGCTTTTGAGTGGAACTAATGAAATCAGGAGAAAGGTGCAATGTTTTGAACAAGTAAGAGCCACTTGAATTGAAAACAAAAGATAGTTGTATTGCTGTGAAAAAAAAAAGTATTTCTTTAATAAGTGGTGACTCTTGCTGTAATTGTGCTTAAAGAAGTGGGGGGCTAATATATATTGATGTGAAGGTGGAGTTATGGTTTGACATAAGTATGGGATTTTACATGTTAAAGTGTATGTATTAAAGTGCTTAGGGAGGTGTAGTCACTCTTATATCTAAATGTATCCTACCCGTCCCGCAGCCTACATTACAACCAAATAAAGTCCTACTTGATCGTAGACTGAATGAGCTCGATTAGTAGAGTAGTACACTACGGGCAAGCCTATGGTGCATCTTTGTGGCATATGAATGTTATTTCTGAGAGTGAGTGAATTCTTTCTATCTTGAGTTCCTAAGTGTTCTTAAATTTTATTGTGTGGAACTACTCTCTTTTGTTGTGTGAGGGCACTTGATTCATGAAGGAAATGTAATTTCAGTGACCTCTATGTTAGAGTAAGTGGGTGAGTTGCGAATAATGCGTGGTACTTGTGAGTCAAATCTTGAGGTGAAGATGTTACACTCTTGTGCTTAGTCTATTTTAAATATTCTTGGTATGATGAGTTAGGAGAATTGTTTAAAAAGGTCGTGTCTATATAAAGTGTAGTTTGATTGCTCGAGGACGAGCAATGGTTTAAGTGTGGGGTGTTGATGATAGGCTATAATTGCGTATTTTAGTCATTTGTTACACTCTAATTTACTCCACTTTAATTGAGTTTGAGCTCAAATGATAGTAAATTGCACTTAGTACGTGTTTTATGCCTTGCAGGAAGTGATCCTAAGCTCAAAAGCTAATTTGGAGCTAAATTGATCAATTTGGAGCTTTGAAGTCTGAGTAAAAGCCCAATACATTAAGTCGGGATCGTGTTCGGAGGTCGTGTAATAAGTCCGGATGTTAAAAAAGGACGAAATAAGTTCACTCTGAGAAAATTACACTGCCGCGCCGCATGGGGCGCTGCAAGGCGCGGCTCAGCAGTGTAAAATGCTGCCTAATGCGAAAAGTTGAGGCTGCTGATAAAATGCACTAACGCGCCGCATGGTGCGGCGCAGCCTGCGGCGTGGCTGTTCAACTTTTACAGAGCGAAGTTCTAGTTCGCGCAGGAAAGGTTTTTTTTTGTCTGGGCCCAACCCTACTTGGTATAAATACATGTAAAAATGCTATTTTGAGGAGGTTGGACATACTATTGACATATCTTAGACCTAGGGAGGCTATTGTGGAGATGAGACACTACTTTAGGGTTAGACAACACCCTTGGAGGCAAGAACAGGCTAGGAGCAAGGCGGGAAATTCTTCTACGAGTTTTTCCTTCCTCTTCCTATTTTTCATTGTTGGTTATGACTTTTAGTATTGTATTTTTACATGCTATTATGAATAGCTAATTTGTTATCTAGGATTTTGATGGAACCTTTTGTAGGATAAATTCTTGTTATTTTTATATAATTGAGCCATAGTATTTTCTCTATTTGTTCAACTACGTGTTTGTTGTAGTTAATTGACAGGATCCTCAATTAGCTGTGCCTATTTAGTGTGCATAACTCGGGAGAGAGTGCATATTTAGGTAGTTGTTGAACAACACCACTCCCAAAGTATAAGAGGGATCTATAACTGCGGGTTTAAAGGCGAGATTATGGATAACGAAGCCTTGGGTGCAATCTAAAGTGAGCTGTAATAAACAAAGCCAGCTAGCGTAACTCGGGAGAGTGCGTCTAGTAAATTGTGGTAATTACTCGGGAGAGAGTTACGACAGTCAGAGCGCTCATGATCGGTAGAGATACTTAGGCAAATTTATAGAAAACGTAGCGGGAAGGATTCCGACAATTGGGGAAATCATAACTCTAGACCTCCTTAATCTTTACTCCAATCATTATCCTTGTTAATTGATAGTTTTACGGTTTTCTAGATTTGTTAGTTAAGTAGATAAAAATAAATATTATAATCTTTATAATTAGAAAATTGTTTGGACTTGTGTTTCTTAGCGATATTGAACAACTATAGCTAAGCCTTAGTTCTCTGTGGGATTCGACTCTGGACTTGTAAACAGGATTATATTTGCAGCGATCGCTTATCCTTTTTAGGACTAGAGTTGGGCGTGATCATCCGCTTACACCTGTGGCCCTTTCTTGCCTGTTTCAGGATGTTCTGGTTCGATTTCGAGTAAGATCTTCCTATTTCGCCTTAAACCTATGGATTTCTAAGCCTACTTCTTCATTTCTGTGTTGTTTTTCTCGAAACCCTAATTTCATCCTTTGAACCTCCCAGATTTGTGCAAGATCTGAGATGGATTGAACCTATTTTACATAAGTTTTACAAAAATCTTTTGATTTTCGAACGGCTTCCCATTTTCCTAAACTAGGGTTTCTTGAAAATCTCTTTCTTCAAAACGTTTTGCTAATTTTCAGTATTTAATCTTCTACTTTTATGTGTTTTCTGACTGATTTCGAAGAGTTTGCTTGGACCCTAACTAGTTTATGCTAAAGCCCTAATTTTCTTATGTTTTTGCTTTGATTCTGAGTCTTTCCGAGCTACTTGTTGTATTGTTTGTGCTGTGCTTTGACTCTCATGAGTTCCCCCTTTAGTCTAATTCAGTATCTTGTGACTTTTACCTTAGTTCATCTCTACTGGGGTTTCTGAGTCGATCCCTTGGCTAATTTATGTGTGTTTATGAAGTTTTATTTAGCTTACTCGTCTATTTGTGGAAAACTGATATTTTTCCTCTCTTTAGATCAGTACTACTTTGGATTTTGATTTATTGATTTTCCTGGTTAAAATTTATGTGTTGATTCTTGATTTATTCCCTTGTTTACGACTTTAATTATTCCACTTACCTTAATGCCTGTAATGTTACTGATTCTTCACGATTATTTCCTTAATTAATCTCCTATCTGTATACCCCTTTACTTAGGCCTGATTTGATTTTCTTTCCTTAAGTGACTCATGTCCTTTAACCGTTGAGTAGTTGTCCTTAATTAAAGGAAGACTACATTGATTTCGTGTGTGATTGATTTTGTAATTCCCCTGATTCCTGAGTTCTGATTTCTTTACCTTACTCTGCTCCGCTCCTAAACTACTATATATACTCTCCTTTACTTTAAAAAAAATGAACATTGGTTCACCATTATTCTTACATTCTAAAATGTTTTCTCTGTTCTTCCTGCTACTTGTGATCTTCATTAGTCTTGCCAGCCGTAAGCCAAGGCTAGAAATTGCACAACACCTGTCTTACCTCTTGTGTTCTCTTTCCCTAACTGGTGCCTTAGTTCATCAGTCACGAGTTAATTTTCTGCTCCTGTCTACTGTCTATCCAGCATGCCTAATATTTCCTTGTTCAATATGTGATTAGCATGCCTCAACTTTACTTGCTTGTCTACTGTTTATCTAGCATGCCTAATACTGCCTTGTTCAATATGTGGTTAGCATGTCTCAACTATACTTGTCCGTCTACTGTTTGTCTAGCATGTCTAAATCTTGTTTTGCTCAGTGTGCGGTTGGCATGTCTACATTATGAATGATTGGTGGTGTTTTACCTAGTCTGTTCATCTAAGTCCTTTCATACTCTGCTTTGCTAAGTCATCTAGTCTCTCAAGGCAACTCTAGTTGTGTGTTTGAGGTTTATGTGTTCTCAACATCTTTGCTCCATGTCTCAATCACCTACCCTTGTAACTAACTTAAGTAATTCTATACATCTGTTTGCTTTTGTGCTCCACTATACACTAAGGTGTATTCTATGTATCCCCAACCCCTCTCTCCTTGTTTGGAACCTGCTTGCCAAGTGTTTCTGAATATGGTTGTTCTGTGATTTGTGTTTTGATTTCAAAGTGCTTTCATACTTTTCTCAAGCTGTTTTACTACCAAACTATTACTGTTTTTTTCAGAAAATATATTCACTCCTAAGATTCCTCTCTATACTGTTTACCAAAACCATTTCAAATCTTGTCAAGCACTCTCACTTATTCTTAGGTTATTAAGTCCGGCCCCTCTGGTATGTGTACTGCTTAGAGGTCCTTGAGATCTCTCCGAACTCTGGTATATCAGGGCTGGCTCTTCCACACTGCACATTGTAGACATGTGATTTTTGACCCTCCCAAGATTACTCATATTTTAGTACGTAAATATTTAATTTAGGCCTAATAGCTTTATTTCAGCTAATTTTGACTCTTCTACTTCATTTTATTACAAGAAAATAAAAATTACAAAAATAGTTTCATTAATGTTTTATAGTCATTTTTAATCTTGAAAAATACCAAAAATAGTTTGTTTTAATGGCCAGTCTTATTTTAACAGTTATTTTACTTAAGAATGACTAATTAATAAATGAGATCGTATTTTAGTCTCGTTCGCGAGAAAAAAGATAATTTTGGGCTCAAACAGTTCACTTTTAGGCCTAATTTTCGGACCTAGCCCATAATAACCCAAGACCAATACCCCTAAAACCCTAAACTTTGACTATAAAAGGACCTACACCCTAATGACCTATGACCCTAGACTCTACCCACACTAGTCCGCCGTTCCATCCAGAGGTGACAAACCTAAATCCCTAAGAAAAGAGCTGAAAATACAGAAAAGATACAAGACAAAAAGACTAGACCTAAGAGCTGAAGAAAACCAGCGGCTGAACATCCAAAACGAGACCACCCCCCCNCCCCCACCTCTCGAGTCTACTCGTCTTACCTTACTTAAAACTTAAACGTAGGACCTAACCTAACACACACGCACCCGCCCGCGTCGAGACGACAAACCGTAACTCCCTTTCCCCCTACCTCG